TGTTACCTTCCCACCAAGGTGAATATGAAAAACAGGATAAACCCGGCTGAGATGCTTAGGCAATTGGAGATGGACGGAAACAGGGTTGGTGATCGGGTTTATTTATCCACTAAGTTTCTTCAAACGACTCAAAAGTTGAAGAAGTTGGGCCCAAAATATGTTGGCCCGTTTCCAATTGTCAAGATCATCAACTCTATTTCCGTCCGTCTCCAATTGCCTAAGCATCTCAGCCGGGTTTATCCTGTTTTTCATATTCACCTTGGTGGGAAGGTAACAGCGTTCTGTGTGCCTTCAGCATTTAGTCATGCCAGCCACATGACTACAGAGACGTCTTCGGACAACACTGTCTCTTCGGCTTTGAAACAGAGATGAGCACGTCCCTAGAGTCAGGAACAACTAGCACATATGTGCGAGGGGAACCTTTACCTTACAGCTTTTGGACTTGCTAGATATAAAGAAGCTGGAATGTCGAGGTATGTTCATTTATTTCCAGAATTTATTGTGTGTGACTTTTTCATGCAAAAATATGCACAAGAATGCATATATCAAGAAACACAGCTGAAATCTGTATTGGATATATTATTTCAGATTTCAGCTGAACTCTGTGTTGGAGAAAATAACAGTTGTTTCCTGTTGAAAAAAATTGCTTGTACAAATTGTATTTGGTAAAAGACATACAAAAACATTTGCCTTAAGAGAACTACACAGATACCATGTAGAGATACTGATAAAATCTTTAAAGCAGTGTTTTATATGCTTGCTTACAATTCCCTTGTTAGGCATTCTCTGTATGTTCTTCATTTAGTATGAGCAGTGAAGTAAGAAAGGAAAAGGAAATTGACATAATCAGTTTCCATGTATGCAGATGTCTGGAAGTGTACAGATGTCAGTCAGATCCCCAAGTGTATGCACATGATCCAGAGATGCAGGTAGACAAGAAATTTCCATCTTCTGTGAAAATAAATATTGAACACCCAAGTGGCATATCAGCCTTACTTGAAGAAAATCATTCTACCCAAAATCAAA